GTTGCCTTGAAATTGGTTGAGTTTTGGTGAAGTTGGAAATCCAATCTTCGCCGGGGCGAAGAAGGAGCTTCGCCCCGGCGAGGAGGAGGAGTTGCACCACGGGTAGGTTCTGCCCTATTTCGCCGAGGCGACGAAAAATGCTTCGCCGCGGCGACGAGCCTAATACAAAGTTTCTTGAGTTTTCTAGAGAATTCTTCTTTTGGGGCACAATGACCATTCTACCCCTAATTAGTAGGAAAAGTGGGGAGTAAAATGAAAGGAAATTTAGTAGAGATTGTGTTTGGATGGGGGTGTATTGGTAAAGAATCAAAGGATATAGATGGAATTTCCAAGGAAGAGCAAGGGCAAAATGGGAAAGGATGCTTATAATATGAACTAAAAAGAGTTAAGTGTAGAGAAACCCTTTATTTCTTCATTCCACCGCCTCTTCCATTTGCCCATTTTCTCTCAATTTCTCCATCCAATCTTCCAAGATTTCTAAGGGATTTAAGAGGGGTTTTGAGTAGAGATTTCATCTAAAGCATCCTAAGGTAAGGATTCATGCTTTAGATGTGAATTTTCTTATAATTGTAGTGAAGTCTTATTTGGTTGTTATTGTTCTTGTTGTTGTTTTGAGTTGTAGAGAAGAGACAAGACAACAAAGGAAAGGAAAAGTGCTAAAGAAGTCACCTTTTGACAAGGTAAGTAAATCCAACCAACTTGAGTTTTGAATAAGCTTTTGAGTAGAGATGTATGCATGATCAGTATGTAGTATGATTGATGAGAAAATTGAGTTGAGATGAGTAGCTATTTTGTAGTTGTTGGATAGATTCCATGTATGAGAAGTGTTTTAATGTGTATTGAGAAATGAAATTTGAGATGAAGTTTGAGAGATGTTGTGTAAACAGATTTGGAAGTGTTTTTCTTGACAGGGATTATGAGTATTTGAGGGAGTTTTCCCCCATTTTGGATGGCTAGAGAATGAAGTATAGTAGTAATTTTAGTAGAGTGTTTATATGCACATGAGTTGCTTGATGAAATGCCTAGGTGAAATCTGCCCTGTCACTGCCGTAACTTTCTAAGTAATTTTTGGGTATCTTACGGTTTGAACTGGGCTGAGACCAAAACATCAAAGATGTAGCCCTGTTTCTAAGCTTTAAAACGAGACCAGAACCGTAGCAATCCGAGGTGTATAACGCAAGTTATGGTCTTTTTAGTGTGACTGGTGCAGAATGACTGTTTTGAGGAAATCTTGTATTTGGCATTTCATTAGTGCATTAGGGAGCATGAGCTAGCTCTACACCTTTGTTTATACACTTGAGAAGTAGCTTGAGATTTAGTAGAGAATTTGAGTATAAGTTCCTTAAGAGTTAAGAGAATAGAGTAGGTTGTGCGATGGGGAACCCGTGAGTAATGGGTAGAGTATTCCCGCATGTACGCCGCATTGAGAGAGCGGCATGAGTATCAGATAGAGAAGTGGTGTAGCCCGTGAGAGTGCATGCGGATGAGGGCTATACCCGAGTACCCGAGAGAGAGAGATTATATACTCACATGGCCAAGGGTTCCGAATCCATGCATAACCGAGTCCGATCGGCTAGAGTGAGTAGAGGTCACGTAGAGTGGGAGTGAGTCCCGGCCGTGCCCCCGGTAAGATGGGGCCGTGATTTATGAAAGAGTTATGAGAAAAGAGTTTCTAAGAGAAAGAGAAAGAGGAAAAGAAAGACGTACCCAAAGAGTTATTGAACGGGGAGTTGTAAGGAAAGAATTAGAGATAGAGAGTTACGGGGCTAGTATGAGTAGAGGATTTACTTACTGAGCATTATTTTAGTGCTCACCCCGTTGTTTTCCCATGTTTTGCAGGACCTAGGTGAGGACACTGTCGGATGGATGTCGGCGTGCGAGGAGGAGTGGCTACACTGTCCCTGATGTTTTTGATGACTTTTGTATACGTTATATATTTTGTGTAAAAAAACGTATATGTTTGTAAAGAGTATGTATATATGTTTAATAAAAGAAAAATTTGAGCCCAATTTCTTTATGTTATTTTATATGTATTTCATTACAAAGTTTTGAGTAGTAGTAGTTATTACAGAGGATCTATTTACTTGTGTTGGGGTTAATTTAAGAATATTAATGCTTTATTCTTAAGTATCTTCATCGAGAATTTCATTTTAAATTCTATATAAAATGAAATTCTCTTGAAGAAGATAATGCAATCTTCTTCAAGAATTTCATATTATTAAAGTTTGAACAAATAATGTAATCTCAACAGTATATATATATATATATAAAAGAGCATTTGCATACTTACAATTTCAACAAACATATAACACCAACTATTCACACGTGCAAAGTGCTAAGCAGATTTAGAAATTACACATGAACTGGAAAATGAAACAAATTAAAGAGAGACGATTTTTAAAGTAGTTCGGATGTTCAATGCGAATCCTACGTCCACTGTCTTTTTATTTATGAAAGATTACAATCAAGTCGCATGTAGCGATCAAAGAAAACAAAAATACAAAGAGGGAGAGAGAGAGAGAGTGTTTGTATTATTAGAATTCGAATCCCAAAAAATGAGAGGGGAGCTCTCTATTTATAGTAAGAGGTTTTTAGGTAATGATTATAAGTCTGCCAGTGGGCAGGTGCCGTATAGTTCATACCCTGTTTCCAATTGGCCGATTGCACGGAAGATATCCTTAAATTGAGCAGAGCTTGGCGGGTGGGTGACTGGAGTCACCCACCCGCCAAGCCTTTACTTGTCAAGCTGATGACAACCTTACTTCTTTTGTCCTTAGACAACATGGCAGCGCCTGGATGACACAATATTTGACATAAGTCTACGTTAGCCCTGATTTTTTAGGCATAACACACACACACACACATATATATACAAGAGAGCATTTGCGTACCTACAAATTAACATTAGATGTTTAATACTAACACAAGTCAATAAAATCTTTCTCTATTACAATGAACCAACCAATATTTGAATACACTAATGTAGATGACCACATAAAGAGCCAATGGGACAATTAAAAATTATCATTATGCCTTGACTGCATGTTTGAGGAGGTTTAATGAATAGTGCAATTCATAAAGCTCTCCATGAGGTATAAGGAGATACTAATAAACATAAATATTTTGAGAAAAAGTAAGCAGTAGCTCTCCTCACATTCTTATTTTATCACAGAAGCCTTTGTAATCAAATAAGTTACTTCACCTTTTAGATATACATTCACAAATGAATACTTTCCTTGAGAGTGTTTTTGAAATATTTTAGTATTACAAACTTGTCATGTAACCTGTTAAGAAAATCATACGAACAAATGACTATTATGGGCATTACCGACTATACTGAGCCTTGAGCTAAATTCCAACGGACCTTTAACATAAATTACTATGTGTGGACCCGGAAAGGACAAGGCAGTGGTCCTGTCCTAATTAAAAAGAAAAAAAAAAATGAAAGCCACAAAAGACGTTCCTCAAGTATAAATATCACCCTTCCTTAGAACAGTGAGGTCTCATTCCTCCTAAACCCACGTTCATCAGGTTCCCTAGCCCAAGCGGAAGCCCAGGTTTTAGTAAGCCCATTATGGCCCAAATATAATTGATTGAAGCTCCTAAAATCTGACGTCAAAGACAACTAAATTTAATACTTAGACTGAAGTATTAAAATCTGGCCCAAATTTAGTGACGTCATAGTTTATTACTTATGACGACTAATGCTTGTTGTAAAAAGAAAAAGGCTTTATATTATTTCGCAAAATTTCTATTATTTTTTCAACATCAACAGTGTAATTCAAAACTTAAAGTTCTTTTCTTGTACAAATTTCCAACCTGGCTGATCCATGTTTATTAAAGAGTTTAATTTTATTTTCAATATTGATCTTTTGGACAAAACTAGGCTGATTTTGTTTACAATTAAAGCTTAGACTAGAATTTTGAGTATCATTTATAGATTTCATTCGATACTGTATCAGTTCTTTCAGGGACACCTGATTTTTTTTTTTTTTAATAAAAATATTTCAGTATAGAGTCTATTTTCTATACTCTTTTATTCATTAAATTAGTATTAATCTATCAATTCTAATATATATTACAGTATTATTCTCTATTCTATTATTTAATTAAATAGAAAAAATTAATTTATGTCAATTAATTAGTATATTAAATATTTATGGTTAGTAAGAAATATATATATTAAGCACTATAATACTTCAATAAACATTTAGTAAATGGCTGGGATCTTCAACACTCCTTTTATAAATACAGCTCTATTATTAAAATAAGATATATAACCAAGTTGAGTTTATTATCTTTAAAACAATATAAGTGTTTACACAAAAATTGTCTAATGAAGTAGTCTTGATATTAATTTTGTCAAACCATGTTATTGGATTCATCGTAAAATATTATTGCATTGCAATGATGATAAATCCAATGATATTAAACTATGGTCCTGATAAAATTGTTATTAAGAAGTTCTCATTAAAATATTACTTATGTATGTATGTATGTAAACACTCATAGTGATTGCAAATCACGAGGTTGGGTATTCCTCTCCTTGGCCTAGGCCTCAAGAAAGAAAGTGACTCCCCATCCCAGCGTTGCTATTTAAAGCCTAGGGCCAGGGTCAGGGAAACTTGTCCCCGAGTTTGTACACGATTTATAATAAAAGAAAAAAAGAATAGGAAAATGATTTAAATCTTGATTTAATGGTTTCTATCCTTTATCGTTACCAAAATGTTATGAAGAGTTATTCCTATGGCATGTCTTTTCTTTTGTGATCTATAATACATGTTTTGCTTAAGAAGAGGTTTAAGAATACCATATACTTTTCTTCTTGTCAGGAATTTAATTAATTGCTTTACTCTTTAGGATAGATATAGAATCTATTTACTTGTGTTGGGGTTAATTTAAGAATATTAATGCTTTATTCTTAATTATCTTCTTCAAGAATTTCATTTTAAATTCTATATAAGTTGAATCATTTGTTTGCTGGGACTTAAATAAATAGAGCTATTTTAGCTTCAACCATTAGACTCACTCAGCTTTTATATTTGGTCTATGAATGTAATGCAGTAGTAGAAATTCTGAAGGTTGGATTTTTAGCCTGAAATTGTAAGTATGTAAATGCTCTTTTTTATTTATGTTTGTTTTATTAATTGAAACAATCATTATATACTGTTGAGATTACATTATTAGTTCAAACTTTAATAAGATTGTGCGCATGTACATAAATATTTTTCATTCTAATTTCGGTTTTTATTTCTTGTACGACATGATTTTTTTTTTTTTCAATCATTCATTTTCATCTTTGCAGAGGAATGTGTTAAATTAGATAAGCAATAGACCATAAAAAATTAAATGGAATATAGTGTTTATGATTGAGTCCTTCACACGCTTGAGGGCTTGGTCAGATAGTTTAACATATGGTTTGCTCCCATACGAAGTGGGGATTGAGCTCTCTCATGGTCACTTATATAACCAAAGATCATTGTTTCTCACTTCCCAAAGATTGTAGGATTTGGCGGGGGCTCTAGTTGATATCAACTCCTTTTCCTTTGAAATTGTACTGAGTGAAATAGATTATACACAGTTACACATATTATTAAAGTTTTAGAGATAAATAATTTTCAGTAAATTTAAAATATTAACTCCTATTTTAGGTTTCTGACATAGGAAAAAAGGATTGATGACAGGTGTTTTATTTTATTATGGCTGGGCCAACATGATTTGTGATGGCCCAAATTTCCAAACTACGTAGATTCTTATAATTTATATTTTAATTTATTTTATTAATAATTATTCTATGATAGCAATCAGAGGTAAAACTTATTTATGTCGCCTGATTTGCTATTCTATTATTCTTTCTTTTATATAATAAATATCCTCGTTGCTTCAGGTTTTCTTAAAATAATAAATGATAATAAAAAAGCTAAGGAAATTTAGTATTTTCTCTTGCCTAAGTTCTTTGTTGTTTATCAAAGCATCTCTTACAAATACCTTTCATTTTTGAAGTGCCAATATCATCAAGGCTGTTTTCTTGCACTTAAGGTTTCAGCATTTTTTTTTTTTTTTGATTCCTAACTTTGGGGTTCTCAGTGTTTTTGTTCAGTACTAGGTGTATACAGAAGAAGTGTAATTTAAGGCTGCAGGATCTCAATCATAATAATGTAAGTATATATGCAGATATGTTTTCATATATTTGTTTTATTGTAACAATTATCATACATACTCAGCTATCAATCTTCTCTTTGAAATATTCACTTACTTTTTCTTGTTATAAGTTTAATTCAAAAGTTCTGTATTTATATTCCCTTTTTATATATTTTGCAAATGATTTCAATCATTTCAATTTGGTCTTCAATTGTATCATAAAACTAATTTAATATGTGTCAGTTTATTAATGGCCCGAACATTGTAATGCTGAGATCGTACCAGAATGGCATTCTAGATATTCTCTCAAAGAATATAATTACAAGGTGCATTAATTGTTTGAAATTATAGATTCTAATATTGTTTCAACGTGCTATTAGTGTCAAAATTCGTAATTTAAAACCTGAAGTTATTTTCTTATTCAAATTCTAATTAATTAATCATAATTGATCCTTATTAATGTATATTAAAGTATATATATCACGCACTAGCACTTAAGTAAACATTTAGTAAATGGCTGGAGATCCTCAACACCCGTTTTTAAGTACACATCTATGATTCAAATTAGGTATATTACCAAATTAAGTTTATAATCTTTAAAATAATTCAATTTCCCAAATATGAATTTAATTTAGAAATAGTTGATTTAATAGAAAAAATAATAATAATACATATCACTAATATAAATAACAAATATATATCACTAATATTACATTGAATAGCTTAAACATGAACTTCTTTTCCATTGAGAATGCATTGTTAAATTAGATAGATTGACTGGTGATGATGATGACCACATTTAAATTGATGATGGTGCAGTGATTGACATGGAAGTTGAAGATCCAGGCTCAGAACTGGAAGCAAGTGAACAAATGGAAAGACGTGATGATTATGCAGTGATTGACATGGAAGACCCGTACTCAAAATTGGAAACTTCTCTAATGAAGGAATTGGGATCTTTTAATGATTTGTTTGAAGAATGCAACATCTGTAGAGTTCAAGAGAGTGTACGTGAGCTAGATGAAGAAGCCTACACACCTCAAATAGTCTCTATTGGTCCGATTCATCACGGTAAACTAGAGTTAAAAGTAATAGAAGATTATAAAAGGAGATTTTACAAAAGTTTTTTTGAAAGAAGTAATCGGGTGCGCTTGAAAGATTTCATTGAAGTTATAAAGGAAAATATGTGTGATTGTTATGCAAACACCATTGAAATGGATAGTGATGATTTTGTGAAAATGATTTTAATGGACGTTGTCTTCATTTTGGAGGTACCATTAACGCATATTGAAGAGGAACACTTTATTTATGATAGTGTATTTCGTCCTCCAAGTAATATATATGATGTTGCAAATGACTTGTTTTTGCTTGACAATCAGCTTCCATTCTTCATTCTTAAAGATTTGTTTAGGCTAGCCGATGTAGACATATCCTTTAACAATCAAGAGAAGTCTTCTATTCTTCAGATTGTTCATGGTTTCACCCGTTGGTATTGGGGCTACTTGGGAATAGAGAAGAACTTTGATTAAAGTAAATATTCGAGGGTGAAGCATCTTATTGACTTTCTAAGAATTTCTATTGTACCTTTTAATCCACAGTTGAAAGAGAAACCAAAAGTTCTAACAACACCAAGTGTAAAAGAACTACATAAATTAAGCTTGAGTGAGGTTTAAGTTGGAGTTAAACGAAAACTTACTTGACATAAGATTTCACAATGGAATATTACAAATTCCACCAATGACAATAGGAAGTTGCATGGAAAAGGTTGTGAAAAATCTTTTGGCCTTTGAGAAAAGTCAATGCAAAGATCATCTCTAAAATGATTGTATTATCATCATGAATTATCTTGTTAACACTCCCAAGGATGTGGATATACTTGTCCAGCATCAAATTATTCACATTCTAATGGGAGATTCGGAACACGTGTCAAGTCTATTACACCGCCTTAATCAATGGCTATTTTAAGTTCTCATTTCCTTAATTCTTCTCTTATGGAAGAGCTTGTTGCGATTTGAGACTAAACTAAATACTGATCAGCCAATTAATCACAAGAGAAATCAAGAACAAGAAACACATACAAGAGTTTACCGTGGTTCACTTGCTCAAGATTTGAGAAAGCTATATGCACGTTGAGCTCCGAAACACCAAGGCTCGCTGCATTAAGAAGATCAATATTGTTTACAGAGTACAATTTCAGATTCTCAAACACTACTCAACTCACTTTGTTAATCTATCACTCAACTCTTTTACCGTAACCTTTAAACCCAAGAGAAAGACTCCCTAGGCTTCTCTACCCATGAAGGAAACACCACCTTCACTCAACAACCCAATTGACTACACCAAGATTACAAGAATTAAAGTAAACCAAAGAACCCAACAAAGCAGAGTTTATACAGAGTCGAAGAAGAAGAGAGAAACTGATTTTTTGTTCACTGTGTCTTTAATTGGAGAGCTGCCCTCGTTTATACCTTTGACTTTTTAGGGAAATTTCAGCCATTAGATGAACCTTGAATCAACCATCAGGATTGCATGACGCTTGGACCAAAACGGCAGTGTTAGACTTAAACGTTAGCCTCACACTTTTACATTCTCCACCTTGAAGCTAACAAACTCCTCCAGGTTGTCCTTCCATTAGTGCAGCAAGCATCTCAATGTTCCTTCTCAGCTCTGATGTGTTACCTTATATGCAAAAAGTCCAAGCAATGCTTGAACTTTGATGCTGTCACAACCTTGGTCCCCGTATCTGTTAGATTTTCCTCAATTTGTATCTTCTCTAGGCATAATTGTCCACTTGAAATGAGATCCCTCACAAAATGAAACCTCACATCTATGTGCTTGGTTCTCTCACGATGCATAGGGTTTTTGCTCAAGTGGATGGCACTTTGACTGTCCGAATAGACAATCATTGGTCCATCCAGTAGGTTGGATTTTTGTAGGATTCCTTGCAGTCATATGGCCTCCTTGAAAGCATCAGTGACTGCCACATATTCAGATTCAGTTTTGGACAGTGCAACCAAAGGTTGCAACTGGGATTTCCAACTCACACAATTTCCTCCAAGCGTAAAACAGTAGGCAGTAGTGGACTTTCTACTGCCTCTATCACCTGTAAAATCTGAATCCACATACCCCACAAGATCAAGTGTATCATATCTTTTACAATAATCTATACCAACATGCACAGTGCTACTTATGTACCTTAGTAACCATTTTAATGCAACCCAATATTCAATACCAGGATTTGACATGTATCTACTAAGTAAAGAGATTGCAAAAGACAAATCAGGTATGGTACTGATCATAGCATACATTATGGAGCCTATTGCACTAGAGTAAGGTATGTTTTCCATTTTGATCAGTTCATTCTCTGTTTTAGGGCACTGCAATTTGCTAAGTATGAAATGACCAGCTAATGGTATAGAGACTACCTTAGAGTCATACTTTCCAAACTTGGATGTGAGTTTCTGCAAATATGACATTTGGTGAATTTTTGGTCTATTACACTTCCTATTTCTCTCTATCACCATTCCTAGGATTCTTTTTGCACACCCTAAATGCTTCATATCAAATTCGGTACTCAATTGTGCCTTTAAGTAATTTATTTTGGACTTAGATTCACTAATCAATAACATGTCATCCACATACAAAAGCAAATATATAGGCATGTCATTTATAAGTGCAAAGTAAAAGCAATTGTCATATTTGCTCCTATTAAAGCCAATCCCAACAATAAAAGAGTCAAATCTTTTATATCATTGCCTAGGGGACTGTTTAAGTCCATAAAGTGATTTATGTAGTAAACACAAATGCTCAGGCAAGTCTTTATCAATGAAACCAATAGGTTGATTCATGAAAATAGTTTCTTCTAGTTCACCATGTAAGAATGCAGTCTTAACATCTAATTGCTCTAATTTTGGGTCATAGTGAGCAACAATAGACAACATCAATCTAATTGTTTTAAATTTAACTACCGGAGAAAAAATTTCATTAAAATCAATACCTTCTCTTTTTTGTGTGTAGCCCTTTGCGACTAACCTGACCTTGTATCTTGGGCTTATGCCTTCTTTTATCTTGAACAATCATCTACACTCTACACACTTCTGATCCTTAGGCTTATAAACTAATGACCAGGTTTTGTTCACCTTTAAAGAGTGCATTTCTTCACTCATAGCAGCCAACCACTGCTTTTTGTCCTTAGAACTTATAGCTTCCTCATAAGTGGCAAGTTCAGCCCTTTGAATTTCACCACCAACAATCAGAGTCGTATAGATCAGGTCTACATAACTATATCTCGCAAGAGGCCTTATATCCCTCTTGATTTTGTCCCCCACAAGCTGATAATGTGCAAGATCCTCTTGTTGAGACCTTTCACCAATCTCTTCTAGTGCTTTTTCAAGATCTTGCACAACATCAACATCTTGTTGCATTCCTATAGGTGTAGTATCCTCATCAAAATTAGGCAGATCCGTGTGATGAATTGTTGGCTCCACCTCAATTTGGGTGGTACTAGTTTGGTTTAGATTTGTTGTCTCACTATTTGAGGTCCCTGCAATGGGGTTAATAGATTTACAAGGAAAAACTGATTCATTAAAGACCACATCCCTGCTAATTATAACCCTGACCCTCTGTGCCTCTCTTTCCCAAAGTCTGTATCCCTTTGTCCTCTCTTAGGTGTCCTAGAAATACACACCTAAGAGACCTTGGTTCTATCTTCCCATCATTTGTGTGTGCATAGGCAACACACCAAAAAACCCTTAAAGTGATTTAGGTTGGGCTTCTTACTAGTCTATTTCTCTTCAGAACACTTGAACTCTATAGCACTAAAGGGGGACCTATTGATAAGTAGGCAGCAGTGGTTAAGGCTTCTCCCCAAAAAGTTTTAGGTAACCCTGAGGTGAAAAGTAGACACCTAACTTTCTCCAACAAAGTTCTATTCATTCTCTCAGTAACCCCATTTTGCTGAGGGGTTCTCGTCACTGTCTTATACCTTAGGATCCCTTGGGCAATACAATAAGTGTCAAATTTAGAGTTACAAAACTCTAAACCATTGTCTATTATAAGTGCCTTGACTCTTTTATCACTCTGATTTTCCACCAGAGTTTTCCAACCTTTAAACTTGGTTAAGACTTCATCCTTAGACCTTAGGAGGTACACCCACACATTCTTACTGAAGTCATCCATAATGGACAAGAAGTATGAATTCCCACCATGTGATTTAACCCTCTCAAGACCCCATAGATCTGCATCTAGGTACTTAAACATCTAGAGGCATGATGAGTTCCTTTTGGGAAACTCATCCTATGTTGTTTACCTAACACACATACTTCACAGAAATCTAGATCAGAAACTATGTCATTCCCAAAATAGCCCTGCTGTTTGAGAATGCTCATATCTCTTTGGCCTATATGGCCTATCCTGAGATGCCATTTCTCAGCTGCAGACATTAGTAGTCAACAAAGCATTATTAAAAAAATCATGATAGTATTGTCCACATAGAATGTACAAGCCATTGGTTTTAGTTCCTTTTAGTAATACTTCATTGTCTTTGTACACAACCATACACCCATTTTGTGCCTTATAACAATACCCATCCTCATCAAGAATTCCTAACGAGATCAAATTGCGTTTAAGTTTAGGTATAAATATTACTCTAGTTAGCTTGATTAACTTGTCATTATTCAGCTTAAGAGTTATGCTACCAATGCCTTGAACCCTACAAGAGTGATTGTTACCCATGAACACAGTTTCACTATCATTTATCTTAAGGTTTTGGAACCAATCTCGGTTAGAACTCATGTGAAAGGAACATCCAGAGTCTAATACCCACTCTTTAACACTAGCAGAATTAGACACTGTGAGAGCTTTAGAAAGTTCAATGCTGTTAATAGTACATGCTAGGTTGCTTTCTGTGTTAGACTGTTTCTATTTCTTAATCCAATCATAGCATTTTTTCTTAAGATGACTAGTTTTATTACAGTAGAAGCATTTCCTAGTCTCCCTTTTAGGCCTATTTTACCATTAACCTTTTTCTTATTCTTAAAGCTTGAATTACTTTGTGGACCTCTCCCAGCCTATTTTCCTATATGACCAGTTTCTGCCCAACCTTTTACAAATAGGTTATTGTCATTTCTTTTATGAGTCTTTAACTCTAACTCCCTAAATTTTGGTCCAGCCACAATCAAGTCAACACTAGGGAGAGTCCCACAATACTATAAAGTCTTTTTAACCACTAGATAATCTTCAGTCAACGAGTTTAACAAAATCATAGATAAGCTGGATTCTCCTAATTCTTGGTCAGTGCCTTTAAGAATTAGCGTCATTTTCAAGAACTCATCTAAATTATCATCTAAAGACTTAGACACATCCATTTTATATGCAAACAAAGAACCCTTAAAAAACACTAAGTTAGGGGCAGATTGTAATGCAAATAAAGTTTTGAGTTTACCCTACAACGTGATCAGATTCTCCAAGCCATCTACCTTTCTTAGGACGCTATCCGACAAGTTCAACATGATGAGGTTATAAGCCTCCTCATCAATCTTAGCCTTCTTTTTTAGCTTATCCTCTGACCATTTGGTAGAGTCTTTCTCCAATGCAATCCCCATCTTGTTGTGAGACAAGAGAGCCTTCATCTTCTTTTTTTAGCTATTGAAATCAATTTTCCCATTGTATTGGGTGATTTCCATACGAGTGGTGGTGGTCATTTTGTGGTTTTTTTTGGTTGAACACTAG